CAAGTAGCATTATCACCTTCCTTGGTAACCTCGGTCGAAAAATTGACCACATCACGGGCCCCCTGCTCCGGCGTTTTGGATTCCTTGACGATATCAACGATCTCCTGGTCAAGCAGTGTCCCGCTGATGCCATCGGACACCAAAACCAAGAAGGAGAACTCGGCCGGGCCAAGCTCTATACGCTTGAGTTCGGGCTCGGCAGAGACTCCAATGCGCTTGGACTGGACATCGCCGAAAGCGCGCGTGTTGGCTAACCCGCTCATGCGTTCTTCGCCGAACGAGTCTGTTACAAAGGTCGTGGCGTACCGCCGGAGTCTGGATGCCTCGACCGGGGAGGAGGGGTGGTGGTTTGATGTGATGGGGATGGCGTCGCCGGTTTCTGTTGAACAGAGGAGCATGCGCGTGTCGCCGACATGGGCAACTAGGAGACTGGATGGGGCAACGGGGTGCCAGAATGGGGTTGGCGTCGGCGTCGAGATCATCGCGACACTCCCGGTGCTACCACCCTTGAACCGGGCGCTTCCGCCGATCTGGGGAGATCGGGTCATGCTGGGCCTGTGAAAGATTTCATCTTCGTTCAGAGGCCTCTCAGCTCGGACTAGATCGTCGTCTCGCTTAGCTGCTTGAGCGTTGACAAAGTCTAGATCCGCACGCAGGAAGGCGTACTCCACAACTTCCTCGATGGAGATGTGATTCTTAACAATCGGGTCGGCGGATTCGGTGCCATTGTAGGCGAAATGCGGCGGCTTGAATCGCTTAAAGTAGCCACCAACTACCCGTCTCCAGGTCTGCACAAGGTATTTCTCTAAGTCTCCGATTCTGCGTCGGTCACCCTCTTGCAGCACGGGTAGTTCGCTAGTAGTGGGTGGCACCTCGGCACCAGGTCGTAGGCTGGATCGAAGTTCGATATCAAATGCCGCGTTCTGGATATACTCGTGCAGATAGTCCCTCAAGAACGAACTGCACTCGGATCCACCATGGCCATCAAAGACACCGAAATAGAAAACTTGTGGGTCTCCACTAGCTGTTTCCGCACCGCGCGACTCCCGGGGTTGGCCCGAAGGATCATGTTTATTAGATCGCCTAATCGTCAGTGAAGTTGGAGCTCGTTTCGCGAAGGCGGGGATGTCAATGACGCCGGCTTGGTACGTGTCTTCATTGGAGGGGCGGGTTCCACGGGAGGTGACGGCGCCGAAATGGTGCTTCGCATTGCGGAGTGGAATCCGGACGACTGTTGTGTCCCGGTCTATTAAAGCTTGGAAGGTAGCTGGTGATTGTGGGGTATCTCCGGTGTGCGGTATAGAGGCGGAGCGAGGGAGCTTATGGAATGGCGAGGACGGACCTCGGGGGTCCGGATGAAGCGAAGACGACGGCAGATGGGTGACAAAGTAGTCGCGGAACTGTGGTTGCTTCCTAAATGTCGACAGACCGGGCGGCACGGACTCTGTACTGTAGCATCGCGCTCGACGAAGGAGAGCGAAGCCTGGCCTGTGTTAGCTAGGTCAAGGATCTTCACACAGATAAGCAGGTAGCTCTGGTCGCACATACTGTAACAGTCGGCTGAGGTCCAGACCCGGCCTGTTACTCGCCTCGCTGAAAGGAGAGTCATTGGCCCATTGAATTATAAGGAAATAGGGAGGAAAAGAGAGTTGAAAGAACTGTGGGGAGAACACATTTGGCCCGAGCGTCGGCAGATAAGAAGACTTGGACCGGCACATTCTTTCCGTGGGATCTAGCTCTTCAGGGCTCCACTCCAGATATGCATGATGTGCTACTTATAAAGGCGCATATATTTATACAATTGAAGCTATAACACAGGTTATGATACTTCACTAAACAAGTCGTTACACGGTTCCTGTAAAGATCTTTTAAAATGTGAGTGGATGGAAACATCTACACTAAGGAGTAAATATCTCTCCTTGGGATCCACTTGAAACTACGTGAACTACAAACAGGGCGAAGTATTCCATATTTGATGTAACTCATTCACAAGTAAAATGACTCATTCACAAAGAAAAAACAGGGAAACAAGATGCTAAATCACTGCTAGAACGATCATATCGGTAGCAAGGTCCACTTCGATCAATGTGAAAGAAGAGACAACGGCACACGGGAGTGGCCGAGCAAGAAAAACAAGAAAAAAAGCAACGCAGAAAGAGTGGCACCTACCGGGTAGCAGAGCCGTCCAGTCCAAGTAAGACCAGGAAGACAGGGGGGTCATCTGCCTTCAGAGAATGTGCCAGGTTAGATTTCGTAAAAAAAACAAAAAACGGATGTACTCAGGGAAGAGCATCTAGATAGCCTTAGTCCGGGAGAAGAGACTGCTGTAGACGGCATCGACGACGGGTTGGGCGGTGATCTGCTTTCCACCAAAGTATCGGCCATTGAGACCCTTGATGGCATTCTCGCCACCTTGAACGCGGTCGAACTTCAAGTAAATATCTCCCTGGGAATTGGCATCTAGTGAGATGTGAACAACGTGGCCGTATTTCTCCTCACACTCCGAGCGGACGTCCTCCTCTAGCTCCTTGACCCAGGATTCGCCGGTCTCTCTGTAAAAGGGTTAGCGTTCATTCTCTGATGATGAAGTGATGGAAACTTACTCGGCGGGGTCAAACATGTTGCGAAGCAAAACACACCGACTAGCCATGTTGACATTGACGGGAAGCGGCTTAGTCTCGGTCTTGGGTCGCAGGAACTTCTGACGGTCGTCGACAGAAGGCTGGGGGTCATCTGTTCGTGCAAGCTTCCTCATCAACGCATCCCTAGAGTAGTTGTTGAAGTTCACACCGGCAACATCCGTGTCGTCAAGTGCACTAGCACCGGCGCCCTTTTCAGTCTCCCGGCCACCAGCGCGGTCAAAGTTGTTGGAACCTCCGGCTTGAACGCCACGACCTCCCTGGCCGGAGAACGAAGAACCCTGGAAGTTTGATTGGTTTGTAGATGAAACACCAGAGGGGCGAGTGGCGTGCGAGTCGGGGGTGAACTTATCATTGCCGAGACCAACCCGAATAGCTCGTCCAGCAAGTTCAAATCCGTTCATCTTTTCCAAAGCGTCACGAGCTTGTTCCGGGTTGGCGAATCTGGTTAAGTCGGTTAGTGAAAAGGTGCCAAGAACATGGAGGGACAACGTACTGAACGAAAGCGTAACCCTTACTTCTACCGGTTTCGTCCTTTTGCAACTGGACAAACTCGAGCTCGCCGAATGGTTCGAAGACATTGGTAAGATCGTCTTCAGTAATGCTGAAATGGACGTTACCGACGTAAAGTCTGTGAAATGGTGCGGTTTGCTGATTGCCTGCGGTAGTCTCGGATTTGCGAGCTTGACGGTTCTTTTCCGCTTCAGTCAGTTGCGCAATGATGGGAATTCCTAACAGCACCTGCCCAGTAAGTCGGATGGCGGCGGCAACAGACTCCTCGTTCTTAAACTCGACGTAGCCGACACTATACAGATATTAGCAAGTGCATGTGTAAACCAATCAGGTGAAAACATACCCTTTGGAGCGTCCACTAACACGGTCCTTGACGATTTGAGCATCCTTAACGGGGCCGGCCTTTTCAAAGAAGGTAAACAGATCCTTGATTCTCAGACGAGCAGCAAGTTGCTGCACAAAGATAGTGCGTCTGTCACGTTCATCCTCGTTCAGTTCTGGGGACTTGCGGCTGTCAGATCCACGGCGGGTATCATCGTCACGGCGGGGGCGTCTTTCTTCCTCACGCTGGCGGCGATTGGGCCGGTAGTGGCGATCGTCATAGGGAGAACGAGAGCGAGTACGAGCGCGACCTCCACCACGATAAAAGTCACCGCTGGAGCGGTAGTCGTCACGGTCACGGCGAGGACGGCGTCGCTCAGATTCGCGACTCTTGCTCCTCTTTCGGCTTCTAAGGCTTCCGTTAGCACTAGCAGTGTCGCTCTTCATGACTTCATCGCCCTCAAGGTCTCGATCAGGGCGGCGGTCACGGCTGTAGTCACGGCGACGGCGTCTGTCGCGGGAACGATCACGGCGCTCGGTGGGGTCCGCGCGGGAGTGGTCACGGCCTTCCGAAGTGGTTGGGGCCTCGGCGGGGGCGGCCGCAGTAGACTCAAGAAGAGCCTCTACATCAAGTCCAGACATTTTGGGAGGTAGCCTTCGTCGATTGCGGTAGAAATATTGTTCGGGGTAGGGATATTTTCACTTTGTGGGGGTCAGATGGCGGAAGGGGACGACGCAGAGTTGGTTTTCGAACCCTTATGATGCGATGGATTAACGGAATCTTCCGTTGGTCTCTTGGGCGTTTATGCGCTTTCCGGCTCTTTCTTGGAGGTTGCACGATAAACGCGACAAAATTTCGACGAATTTTTTTCAAGCACTTGAATGTTGGTATAGTTTATAAATAAATTGGTTGGTCGCAAGACCGAAGAGACGTCGGGCGGTGAGTTGTAAGATCACGTGCAGGTGAGTTCCACCGCCTTGAGAAAAATTCTGCCGGATGGAGCCGACCTGGGCAGGGTTGAACTTTGAACCTTGAATACATACGTCAGATAGCTTCGGGCCTTTTCTTTCCTAAGGTTCTCCAGCCCTTTCCCCTGTCTACCTGTAGCTCTGTACGGTTAATTCTTCTTTCAGATCACCGCATCCTATGATGACAACAAATGCCCACTTATTTGTGCATATGAGTAGACAAAAGTTCATCTAGGTGACTGCAGCGACCTCTAGCAGGCAGTAGATACTATGGAGATATAGATATTATTTTCTTGCATTATGATTAACGGTCATATACACTGATAAGTGATGCTTGTTAAAAAAAAATTAGGATCAACTCCGCCTTGCATCTAGCACCATCAAGAGATGACATGACGAAGTCTACTGTACAACAAGTAGATCCCTGAGACCAACCAGAAACTCCAGTGGCCAATGTACTTGAAGAGTACCGAAGAGTAGTGACTCGATCGTACTCGGCGTTAAATCGTGACTTGAAGACCAGTGACAGCCCTATATTAATGCTTGGATTCATTGTGCTCACTGAGCCTTCACGCCTTTTGGGGCTGGGGACACCAACTCGGTGCCGAAGACTCGATCCCAGAACCGACTAGTCACGCCAAAACCATTCTCGAAATCGGCGAAATGGTGCTGGAGGTGGTACTTCTTGAGCTCCTTGTAGTACGAAGGGAGGCTAGATCGATGTTAGCGTGGATTCGTTGTATCAGAGATATAGTTCAACTTACTTGCGGTGGTGCAGGAAGTAATGGGTGAGATCATAGCAGATATACCCGAAGACACCGCCACAGAATACCGACACAGCCGCGTACCAGTTGTAATAGAAGACCGTGTGTGCCAGCTTCCAGAAAGGAGCAGCTAGGAACACGAATAGTGTCGGTGGCATAACAAGACGATACTTGTCCATCGGGAGATAATGGTGGATACCGTGGAGCAGGAAGTGCAGGGTAAGGCCGACACGGTTGTCCGGAAGCCAGTGGTCAATGTGGAAGAGGAACCGGTGCATCAGATACTCGATCAGAGTCCAGAGGCACACGCCGCCGGTGAAGTAGGAGGCAGCAGCAGTGGAGCTACCCAGCCCGGTAGCTCCCACCGTCATTCCGTAGGCAACACATGGTAACCAGATACTTGGCACGACGTACCAGGCGGTTTTGCTGAGAGGCTCCAGGAAGTTGCCGAACAGAGGAGCGGACTCCCCTCCCCGGTAGTGGCGAGGCCGATGAATCTGCTCCAAGTAGAACTCCTTCGAGAAGTTGCTGTTCCACAGCTGCATCAGAAGCGGCTTGTTTAAGTCCAGGAACTTATGGGTTTTGAAGTCCTGGGTATAGTCGGTATCAATCGATAGATCCTCCTCCCGAGACATTCCAGTGTTCGCAAAAACGGGACCAGACTCGGTTTCAGTCACCGTCTCGATGGCAGTTGTTGGTGTCGTGGTTGTAGTCTTGCCAGGCGCAGAGACATCGGATACGAACCCAATGTGGTACTCGTCCAAAATTTCATAGGCTGAATCGCTGTGTTCGTGGGAGATCCCGTCCTTCAGGATGTCTGTCACATCCTGTCCAGCATACTCTAGGATCAGATCGCCACCACCGGGATGCGCGTCGAGGAAATCGGTGACATCGTAAACATTAGGCCCCAAGGTGATGTAGCATGACTTGGCGGTACTTTGAGATTTGACTTCGGCGGAGGTAAACGTCGGCAGAACTCTCCCAGGCATGGCGGAAAGGTGCTAGAGAGGCGAAATAGGGAAAATAGGGGGTAGGATGGGAAATGAAAATCCGAAAGGCGAGGCGGCAATAATAAGAATTAATCAGGGGAGGCGTGGCGTGACACCAAAAAGCGAGAACCAGGGATCCGCCCGCTCCCGGAGCCTTGGAAAATTTCGAATCCTCGACTTACAATTGGATCAGGCCACAAGTTTAAACAGGGTCCACATCGGATTTGGATTGATATATGCACAGGTAAGTCCATATTTAATTTGAGATTAAAGGTGCAAGATACCAGGCTATAGATATAGTAGTGTATATAACTCCATCTTTTACTGATTTCATCTCGGTGGGGCTTTTATATCTTAGCCGCATTCACGAGGCGCTGAGGGACCTCGGGAGGAAATCGCGGTCCAGGTTTAGCTCGGCTGCTAAGCCGCTACCTAGGTACCTAAGCTCCTTTATTATTTGCTCTCTAATAATTTCCCAGTGTCCTATTTAGCTTGCGTCTCGGCGCTGTTTTCATGTCTAGGGCGACCGAGTGCACTTGGCAGCAGACCACCAACAATCATATCGACAATATGGTGGTTATACAAAGCAGGAGTTGTGTTGTTACGAGGCACAAAGGGAGATTACAGGACATGAAGCCAGAATTATCCGAAGGTTTATTTGTCAAATCCAATTCTGCCATGTAAGAGAGGATACGGACTAGCAAGATGCAATCAAAAATCAAATGGACCTGAGACTGAAGCATTCTGATCTATCACATGTAAAGAAGGCAAAGACAAAAGCAAGCGAAATCGGTTGAATAGCCACATTCAACCCCGTTAAAATTTGAAGGCCATTTCTTCCCTATAGTCAAAACCAGGGAGTGGAATGAAGGTGCCTTGGATGCTGATATGTGACAAAGAAAGCCAAAAGATTGTAGAGTATGTACTCCGTACCTAGAAGTTTGGTAATTGGATGGTATGTATCAAAACTTTAGCACTGCCTCTGCTTTCTCCTAGCAGCCTGATGTTGCTTAGTCCGAGTATTCTCGATTTCTCGATTGAATGCGAGGAGAAGCTGCCTACAAGCGTGGTATCGTATTTTAGCGTGGTCGTTGCATTTGAGTGGTCTCATGGATTTTGATACTCCTAGACATTTTATATAGCTAGTGGAAGAGTGCGACTAGGGAGATATGATTTTTAAATTGCTAAAAATAGTGATCACCTACCAAAAGGAGTACTGGCAAAGCCATCATCACGAGGCAGAAAAGGAAAAGATAGCCGAGAAAACTGCATGAGAGTCTATCTCAGCGTAAGGGATTTGCTTGGCAGAGGCAAGAAAAATCAATGCCATTGGAGTAGTCTTTTGAAAAGTCTGGCCTGCATGAAATAATGAAGGAAGGTCATGCTTGTGGATCGCAGCGGCCGAGTGTGAGAAGGAAGTGTGGTTAGAAATGGATATTAAAATGAGAGACTATCAGGTACTATTCGTCGATAAATGTAGCATGTCCATATATTTTTTTACTTGACATTCTGCTAAGGCCAATTACAACCTTGGGAACATACTTCGCTCATTCCAGCAGATCAGTTCTGACTAGCCAATTATAGTTAGTGAAAGTCATTGCATAGGCTATACCGAGATAGGAACAGATAGCTCAACTATGCCCAAACAGGCTAGATTCAGCAGGTTAGACTGCGAAACCGCTCAATAGCCTAAGCTGCTAGCTCCTTCGACGGGTTTCTCAGCAATCCTTCCTGATTCCTAGGTTTGGGGGCCGTTTATCAGACTGGTCTCTCGTTTGCCACCCGGTCGATCGGTTTAATATAGACACGAAAATCGGCAGTCAGACCCCATATTGACTCCATTAATGGAGACAAGCCCCATAAAGCACATCGGAGTGACAGGCACAGAAAGTCTGATCGTTCGGGTCGAAACAAACTCCGAGATCTTCCAGAGAGGAAAGATCTGTTAAGTTGGCCAAAGGCCACCCTAGCATCTATACAAAGTACAAAATACTAGTACATATCGAGTACGTGCTCCGTACTTAGATTCGGTGTGAGACAATCTCTGTATGCGCCCGGCTCTCGGCCTAGGGCTCCACTGAGAGGTTAGTGTTATCCTACGCGGCACGCGGGGCTGTGGCCGGAACGATAACTTACAACGCTATTATGGGTTATTTATCAGTCTCTGCATGGTCAATTCCAATTTGAAGCAGGGATTAGACATCGCACTAGTTAGTAGTGGAGATTTCCGCCCCTCTTCCTTCCCACATTCTCTTCTCTTTTCTCATCTCTTTTGTACTTGTAATCTTTCTCTTCTCCCATACGATATACCCTTCTACGTTCACTCTCCCTCCCTCCTCCTCCACAGCCCGCAATGTCGACCGCTGGGGACTGGTCCCCCGAGAACCCTATTTTGGCCTACCTGCAGACATTAGCGGCTACCAAAAAGACCCTTCCTTATGGGCAGCCTGTCGTCGCCCACGCCTCTGTCAATCACATTGACTCAGCTTCACTCCTGCGGCTGGCCGCAGATATCGGCCCGTACATCGCCATATTACAAATTCCAGCTGATGTCATCGACGACTGGTCCAGCGACACCATCGAACAACTTCAGTATTTGTCCAGGAAATATAGATTTCTACTGTGGGAAGGAAGCAAGATTCTGAACCCTCTAGTAAATTTCATGGGCAGAGCGGATGCGCCGTTGGAAACAAGGCAGGCTTTGGCAGACTTGATCAAGAAGTCTTACACCAGTGGCCCATTGAGAACGGCGACGTGGTCCAATCTGGCCACCTCTTGGGCCCCCGCAGCTCCAGTGGACCAACAAGAAAATGATATATTGATCCCAACCTTGAGATTGGCGGCCCGCGAGGCAGTTGCAACAACTGCAAAGATAATCCAAACGGAGATTTCTGCCGAGATAAATAACTACTCGTCGGGCGAGGAAGTGGAAATCGCCACCCCCTCCACGGAAACATGCAATGGTTGGAAAGAATTCAGTCCGAATAATACGGGATCGGTATTACGGAAATCGTCAACCATCTCGGTCACGACTGAGTCTGTGACTCCGCACGCCCACCTCCACGCGGATGACGGTGTCCCAGTTCCCCCGCAACTGGCCCGCAGCGTTGCACTCTGTCTGCCCAGCACCATTGAAACCGCATTTACCCCCGAGTTCCGCCAAAGTACGATAATCGCCGCATGTGCCAACTCTGACTTTGTCGTCGGATTCGCAACGAACGAGCCCTTTTTCGTGAATCACCGAGGGAACAATATTTTTGAATTGGCCTTATTCGATGGCAACGGGAGTGCCCAACCAGGCATCGACGCCGCCAAACTCGCTACTTCGCCTTATCTCAACGAACACCGAAGATCGCTTGGTCTATTCTCTCTTGTATCACCTACTCTTAGCCTCGGCTTTGAGTTTGATCCTGCCTTCGAGCCTGACGGAATTGCACTATCTAGCGCTGAGAGTGAAACTCCATACACTGCGCAATACCTATACTATATAGTCAAGCAAGCGTTGGCTCTTCGTGAGAAGAACCGACAAGAGCATGAAGCCACCGGTTCTGGGAAGGGAACACCGGCGGGACCCAAAATCATGCACTTCCCAGTGGTTATTATTGTATAATGTCACACAGATAGCGCTTGATGTTATGCATACTCGCTGGCCGTTTGCGAGTTTTGATGGCTTCGCCTTCCAAGGTTGGCAACTTTGGACGTATGCTATACGCCCATCTTGTTTTACTTTCTGTGCCCTGCCAATATTCTCAAGCCTCGCTCGTGTCGGTATTTCACGAAAAGTGTCTGATACATATACCAATGAATTTGATGAACAGATAAATCGCCGGCCTAGCTTGTGAACGAATTCTATCTAGAAATCCGAGGCATAATAATTAAAAATCCTGAGGATGGGCGTCCACCGTAAAGAATCATTTACGCCTAGATTGCAGCCGCCCTGCCCAGGTGGCACGTGCCTATTATTAGTCATCTTGTGGGAATCGGCGCCAAGGTGGGCATCGGTATCAACAGTGACAGTGCTTTCAGCTCTATAGACATCCTGCTCTATCTTCTCTCCTGTCCTCTATACATTAATATTTGTCTTTTATCTTCATAAAGCTTATCATGAATTCCGATTAGTGTTCGCCAAACAGTTGGCTTCATTGACATCGAACACCAACCGTCATCTTCATGATGCACACATTCTGAGACTGAAAAATACTTTACTTTACTATGAAGTACATAACACGACTCTTCGGACAGAATCGCCTTTATTATTTTACGTCCAATGTTTGCCTTCGCGGCCACAGTTCCACGCCCCATCATAACCACGGAGACCTTCGGGGAACTCGACAGTCATGAACCTAGCCAAAAACCCAGGCCATCAAGGTGGGCTTTCTGGTCAAAATGACCTCCAAGAGCATAACGAGAAATTACCCATCAGAGTTATCTCTCCAAATGGAGACCTAATTCTCGAGTACATCGCTCTCCGTGACTCTTCATCGTCACCCACCCGGCGCAAATGGCAGGTGGCAAGCGAGCGTCTTACCTCTCAAAGTCCATATTTCCAAGCGCTACTGGACCCCACCAAATTCTCCGAGGGAAGGCAATTCAGTGCCCAAAAGCAGGCCTGGAATGAAACCCAGATAGCAGATTCAGCCTCACAGCATGCATTACCAACAGTCAGGCTTCCCAGCGTGCACTCTACCAACATGTGCGGAGAAGATGCCATCGAGTTATTTTTGAAGATTCTATGCGTTGATTCTTTTGATGAAACCGAAAGAACTGTGTTTGAAAATGAGTTGAAGACCCAGTCTACATCGCTTGTTGCAAGAATGATCGATCTTGCCGATTCATTGAATTCTCCCCGTGCCGTCCAGGATATTCTACAGAGGATTGGATATTTATATGGCAAGTCGAAGCCTGCGCTCCTTGCCAGGTTTAATGCAGCTTTGTTGTCAATGAAGGAAGATCGGATTCGACAGATCATCTTCATATCCGCCTTCCTCAATGATTCGAGACTCACTAGAATCATGACCCATGCCTTGCTGGTTGTGGGCTCCAGGTTCTGGATAAACGGGCTAGATAGCCCCGAAGAAGAATCTATGCGCTGGAGACATCTACCAAATGGACTAGAAGGTGGGTTTCCGGAGAGTGAATCCAATCGGTTCCCGTTAGCTAAACCATCCTTCTGCAGAGGAAATCTATTGTCGACGTCAATATGTTTTGAACACCATCACCGACCTACAGGCTCATTTTCTTCGAGTCTATGGGGGTCTGGAGGAAACCGACAGTGCAAGGTCCGCAGCAAACCACAGAACATTGGGCGCGGCCTTCACCGCGTCTGCGCATGCGCTTTTTCAATCTCGTCAATTCCAATGCCGAGGCGGATTCAACAACGCTAGCCAATGCGACCTCTTCCAACTCGGCCAGATGGTCCGATTCTTTTCCATGCGCGCCAGAACGATCTTTTTAGGATCAACATTGATAGACCCGGATTTCGACTCAGCTCCCAACGATTGTGATCACATAACTGGCGAATCTAGGAACGACCAACCCCCAGGCCCGCCATCGGATATCACAGCCGTCATCGCCTCTATCAAACAATATCCTGATTACGCAATCGACGAAGCTCACACCGGCTGCGGTGTGCGACGTCGAATTATGCCTGCTTTGGAGTGTATCGAGAAATTCGTCTGGGATGACCGCGGACTCCTTGGTATCGCCCCCGTGGTCTCGGATATTGCTGTTTCAGATCCATCTCGACCCTTGAAATGGACGCTGTGGGCAGACTTCACGCGCAAGAAACACACGGTTGATATTGCTTTTGCGAGAGTTGCGGCTGTGTACTACCCTTCGGCACCGTCGAAAAACCAAGTCACCCGTTCCACACCCCAAGAAGAACTTGGACGGCTGTTGTTTACTGCTGCTCGGAGGGATTGGAGTGCCGCGGGCTCAGGCTGATGTTTCTACCACCATATATAAACCATTAGACTCTTTATACCGCAATTCATGCATTTTAGAAACCACCGAATGGTCCATGCGTACGAGCCTGGGCCGATTTACAACTTCATGCTATGGCAGCCTACTATATTATGACTACGACATTTCTGAGAAATGGTAGAGCTTGTTATTCCCAAATTCTAGAAGGTTACTAACACTGAATGGTTGGCTTTAGATTGTGTCCTGATCATAAGCGAGTCAACGCTTAACTGTCATCTCGCACACTGGAACCGGTCATCGAGTGGAGATAGTATGTAACCGGGCCTTACCTTTCACCAATTCAGGACAGAAGAGCTGTCAAAGATATCCCTATACATTATCAATATATGACCCCAGGCGAAGGACAATTTTCAGTGGCGACTACTCCCTATATTCACACACAGTAGACATAAACAAGGGAGCACATGCCTAGTTGCCCAGTTCAGTCGATTTCCAACTCGCAGGTACTAACGTCACCGTGACTGAAGAACGAACCATCGTGACAAAATCCGTCGCCTCCCTAGCGGCGAGCCCGAAAATACGACAGAATGATCCAAGACAATGAGAAGAAAAGAATTAGTTTCGACCGGTCTAGACTTCGCAATCTCAATCCAAGGGTGCATTCCGGCTGGCTCCAGCATACATATCCAGACTTCGGCTGTACATGGGTCTCGATGATCTGGTTCTGGGACATGCTTAACATTGGAGGCTCCATGGATGTAAGGGGTATATGTGGACGATGGACTTGGATTGTAGTGATTGAGACAGACTATTTGTGTACATAGTGCAATATCCCACATTTTTCTTCAGATGTCAATAGACATGAAATGAAGCATTAAAGTATCAATCAAGGCAATGTATAATGAGCCACCACAAAACAATAAACTCATGTATCGAATAGTAACTTGTAGATATAGATGGTGCAGAGGAAGAAGTTCAGAGAAACAAGAATCACTTTTCTCTATAGTGCCTAGATGAAGACAATTGTGGAATTTTCTCTTTCTTTTTGATGGCATGCAAATGAACCGACAGAAGAAAAGAACCCGAATCCAGATAACTGCGGAAATATTCTCCAATTTTGATTCTGCGTCCATTTTGATTTGCTTTTTTTTTTTTCTTTTTTTCATGTTGTCCCATCCATCTGTATAGATAGATGCCAACCGCTCAACACACCGGATCACCCCAGAAATACCCCATATCAAGTTCCATATTCGGACCAGATGGGAAAAAAGAGCCTGTGATCTGACCGGTGGCTGGATCGTAAGGGAAGCATTCATCATACGAGCTCCCACCCGAGAGATCCTTCTCCTGTTTGATGAATTGGTCGAGTAGATCTGGCGCCTCGAGACCGTAGGGTTCGGGTATGCTGAGAGGAGGGTTGATTTCTGGCATAGCGAGAGGAGTGTTGTTTTGATCCATCGGGGAGCAGGCGATTGAGTCCAGTTCGGCGGAGATAGCGTCAACCGCCACTGCTGCAGGCATAGCTGCGGACGGGTCAAATGCCACTGGAGCGGAGTCTGCGGTGTCAGGGACTTCGAAGAGGGGATCTGACTCTTCGGTGGTAGGGAAATCATTCACATTGATTCCAATATGTGGTGCCAAGCGGCGGAGGAATCCGTCACAGAGCTTCCAGGCTCTTTCTGACGCCATGTTGGTTTTTGATAGCGTCGACAGCCAGTCCAGGGCTTTCTTTGCAGCTTTGGACACCATCGTCGCTTTCTCGGGGACGTGCTGGGCTCGGAATGCCAGCTCGAGCAGGAGCACAGTAACTGCCTGCATCAGATAATGTAATGTGCACCACCATGGCGACATGCGGTATAACAGTACTGCGTCTGGGGTATCCGGGAATAGCGTAAGCATGTGGCATGCAGCCTCGACACATTCCGCCGCGGTTTTGTTGCAGAACTCGTAAGTCTTGTCTTCCTCGGAAGGGGATTGATCCAAACGACAGAGACATGGCCGGGTGATTCCAATCTTGGTGCTGTAGAACAGAAAGGCGAGGCCCATTCGCTGGCTAATTGGGCATTGGGATGTCTGCGTCGAGGTAAAATCGTATGCAGCAGGGAGATTCATGAACCATGAATCAATCTCAAGCATCAGGCTCTTGATGGTAAACTCGGTGCTTGCCCATGGGGACTGCAACGCCTCCGGGCTGTAGAGTTTCACTGTCATCCGCTTCGAAATGCTAGTCAAGGACGCCAACTGCAGGAAGTAAAGTGAAATGCAAGGCGGAAGACTCTTGAGATACTCTGCTCGGCTCATTTTTGTCTCGCCCTCGTTTGAATCTGAATCAGCCGTCGATTCCAGGTCCTCTGCGTTGTTGTTGGTGGGCATCCGCTCCGAACCATTAGATGTACGGAGTGTAGCTGTGCCTATCAGCCGAGCCACCTCGTCCTTTTGGAAATCACTCTCATCAAAAGGAACAGGCATTGGTGTAGTGCAGGAGCTGTCAATGATACATGAGGGACGCCCAGTCATGATAGTAAGTAGATGATCCAGTGTATATAATGACCACCACACCCGGTAGCGTATCTCCTTGGAAGTGGCCGAGATGCTCGCACCAACGTTGCGCAAATGCAAACCAAGAGCCAGCGCTCCCCGAACTGCACTTCCCGAAAGTTTCCAGGCCCTAAATGAACCAACGCCGTGAGTATATAATTGCAGGATATGTATGCTGTCAACCTACCGATTGATATGTCCCGATGCAATCAGATAGAAAGAAGTAAGCCCCTCGACTTGCAACTGTTGCAAGTCAGGATGATGGAGAATTTGATCTTCCAAGCTCAAGGCCCGCGCCCTTGAGAAGTACATTTGGTGGTCATCATCTTCTTCCTTCCAGTCCGAGTTCGTCAATTGGCCATATTTAGCCGCAATGGCAAAGATCAGGTTGAGTATGGCGAGCCACTTGTTTCCTGGCTTGAGAGAGGGTTGACTGAAAAAGACCTGGAACTGGGGGACAAAGGTTGAAACCCCAATGATTGGGAAGGAAGGATGCACCGAAGTCAGATAGGCATTGAGCATTTTACCTGCCATCTCCCGTGTTGGGACTCCATACATATCACTTTGATCTGCAGTTGGAATGTCCAGGTCGTCAAGGTAATAGTTGGAAGCCACCACCCATGGCTCGCTTGGATTCTCCGGTCGAGGCGTCAGCGTTGGAGAGGGCAGACCGTTATCGTCATCTGTGTTGGGAAGAGTTGCAGGCCAGGCCTCACATTCACTGTTGACCTCTTTGCTGAGCCTTTGGAGCCAAGTTATCTCAGAGCTTTTTCCAATGAAGCCGGTTGCTCGTGCGGTTTCGTCTCTATTGAAGTCCTCCTCTGTTTGGTCGCCGGACTCCAGGGGACTAACAGATGATGCTCGGGAGGGCGGGGGCTCAGAACCCGCATGCCATGAAATTCTTCGTTCTCCAGCTGCTGAAAGACACGTCTCCGGGTTGAATTCCAAGTCAGGGGCTGATTCCTGGTTGGTATTAGATGACATAGATAACTTAGTTATCGGATGTGGACCAAACTTCATACCGCTGCCAGGGCAATGTTCACGAGTTGCTCATCGGACACGCCGAAACGATTGCTCAGCTTGCTAATAACATCTTCATATGCTTGCACCTTTGCGGACAAGCTTGCCAATTGTCTTTTTTTAAGTTAATCGTAGACGTCAGCTTTTGAAATAACGCCGATGAACTGTTATATTGGCTCTGCGTACCGTTTGGACTTCTCCCTTTTACCATCGGTATAGCAGCAGATGATTCCAGCCTCTCGGCAATTGCGGCATCCGGACTTGTCTCCGGTGCACTTCGTCTTCCGTTGCCTGCAAGACTCGCATGCTCGACGAACGTGTCGACGATGGAACCTACCGGGAGAGGTGAAGGCAGTAGATTCGGCTCCTTCCGCTAGTCGCGGGATGGCCATCTTCTTGGTGCCCACTTCAGATTCACCTCGTTGGAGGTGAGACACTGGATTATCCTATAGATGTTTTATCAGATAATACTTCTTGGGATGATCATGATTTCACACTTACCACACTGGATAACTGATTACACGTGTCTGCATCAGCGCACGATAATTTGAAGAGGCTCTGTTGATCATTCCACGAGGGGAATGGAATATTACTCATTTTGAACCACAAAACAATATGATGAAGCTGTTAACTAAATGTCAGTGGAATTCGTAACTATGTGATCTGCATGTTTTACTTACTTGAGTAAATTGAGTTTTGGACAGCGTGTATAGGTTCCAAAGAGCTTTTGATATATATATTGAAATGACAATATCAGCAATTGCTTATTGCTGTGACATCTGTCAAGTCAAATGTTAATATAGTAGCGTGAGAACAAGAAGGAAGGTCATTGAATTTTATAAAACACCCCAGGATTTGACCCATGAGAAGCATAGACCGGGGAAAGATGAAGGGAAAAAAAGGGTTCGGGTCTTGGGCACCGTTGGGAACCGTGAGCTGGTCAAGCTAGATAATTCTGTGATGACATCCAATGCTCGTTTAGGGTAATGAGTAAACGCGCACCATTGGCCACCCGTTCGCCAAATAAGGAATAGCTGTGTGCGTTGCCTCAGTCTCCTTGTAGGGCATGGGGCGAAAGTTCAACGTTTTCATGAGCAAAATACCTTCTTTTGGTTAATTGATCACACTATTTGCCATCAACCAAACATGCCAATGTGGGTTTATATCTGATTATCCAGAGAGAGGAGGTATTGGCTTAACCATCAGATTTCCTCCCCCGGTGATCCATCTTTTTCACAGGGTCAGCTTTCGGTTGTTAGTACCGACTAGCTCTGGACTCCGAGGCAGGGATCAAGCATCGTGATATAGGATTCAATGAGAGCTTCGACCAGAGCAATGCCCATTTTCCCACTTTTCTTGAAACTCTGAGTATATTTCAAGCTCATGAACCACATTGAACTTCCGTCTTGACCCATCTTCACCGGGAAGAATATAGAAACCTCCAGTAATCAGTAGTAAATAGTAAAACAATGCCTAGATGGTCCAGACCCGGGGCTTCGAAGTCAATCTGACGTGAGACTGTGGCGGCACCGACGTTTGAAGTTGGTTCGTCCCTGGTTGGCATTCAGGCCAGGACACATTCGGAAAGTGGATGATAAGGAAAGGGGGAAAAGCTTGACGGCAATTCTCACCAACGTCTCCCGTCTTGGTGTGAGTTAATTTGCGAAATAATCCTGACGTTCCATTACGTCCGGATGATTATAACCTTCAACTATGTATTTGGTTAATATGGTGAGCCTAATGGCCTTGTTTGTCAGGCCTCGAACCATGATAACTAACTAACCGACTGAAAATGTGTTTTGAGGTTATATTATTGTAAGAAAGGAAAAGGAAAAGAATTTGCTTAACACGATCTTGGAGAGTAAAGAACACAATCAGAACATCATTAGGAACTCTATACAGTAGTCCAAGTCCATTTTTACTCAATAAGGAAGTTCTCCGCAACACTGCGGACATCCTTTGAGAACGCAACACCCTCACCCTCCATGTCCAGTAGGGAAACACCGTTGATATCGACATCCACGAAAGGCTTGGTCTTTGTGAAGCGGACACTCATCGGGAAGAACTCATTCTCATCAGCATCAATCGCCTCGAACTCAAAGCTGCCAGATGCGTTCGACTCATCAACAGCGCCCAGGTTCCAGTCCAGACTGTCACCGGAGACCTCGTAGACCGCATCAAAGCTAGATACAGCAGGTTCTGTCGTGCCATATGGAATAGTGACAACCACATCGCGGAGACTATCTTCTCCGGTGAGCTCATACTCCACGGTCACGGTGGTGGAGTCAGAGCCCTTGTTTACCCAGACGGTGAATGTGATGGGGAGAATGTCGGCATTGTCAGCCGAGCTGGCAACACGCCACCGGAGCACCCCGATGGAGTTGTTGGCGGGGAAGCGCTTGGTAGTGTCCTTTAGTTGGACCACGGAAGAGTTGGTGAAGAGAGCTTTGTCGACATTAGGGTGGGTGCGGAACTGTGCGCCATGTGTGGGAATAGCCTGGCAGTCGAGTCGGAGTTTGGTGAGTGAGGGATCACTGATACGGAGCTGCATGTCACCCTTAACCTCGAAAGACTTCAAGGCTCCCTCCCGAGTAAGTGTGGCTGAGATGGCCTCGGCGATCGTGAGTTGGATGGGCTCCTGGTCCACATTGAGAGACTCGCGGGCTGAGGGAACGTCGTGTACCGGAGCCGAAGGCTGTGGAGCCACCAATGGGCTCTCCTCTTCGATTTCGGGGCCCATATCACCCCGGACCTTCTCGTAGATATCTGTTGCCTTTGACTTCTTGCCCAGTTGCATGCCCTTGCCGCGAGTGGGAATAGGCCTAGTTATCACGCAGTCAGCAGCAGTTTCACAACGGTTAAATCAGAAATCAACCAAACGTACTTGGCAAAGGCCTGTTTCTTCTCGGCCTCGTATGAATCATAGGTGTCAGGCACGGAGGGGCGGGTTGGGGGTGTATAGACGGGGTAGGATGGAGTTCTGGGGGCGGCGGCGCGACCTGTGCGAGCAGCCTCTTTGCGTTGCATTTCCAGCTGCTTTGCCTTCCGCTTGCGCTCTTCGCTGGCCTCCAGCTCTTTGTTCTATCAATGTACGTTAGCCGTGAACTAACCTCGCCGGCGATTTCACAACATACCCGCTCAATGATTTCCTGGATTCTCTCCTCGTGACTTTCCATTTCCAGGAAGGTCTTGATCTGAGAGAGAGAAAGATTCTCCCGGTATCCCATAGTTACCAATTCATCGAATGCACTCAGGAGCTCAAAGGCATTGCGAAGAATCTCCCGCTCATCTAGGCTCTTGCAGATGCTGGTGGTGACTTGCGCAAAGAGATGGAGACTGTCAATGTCTTGGAGGATGTTCGATTGACGGTTGGTGATCAGCACGATGTACAACTCGTCCAATGGCTGGTACACGAAGCGCACGTTGTCTTGCTCGACGGTGGTGTGCTGGGTTCCGGAGTCCGCTAGCTTGGGGAAAGAGGCGAGAAGGGCTTCAATTCGGGACCGAGAGATCTCCCGGAACTGGCGCGAGAGAACCGCTTTACCTCCGCGGGTGCATATCGACGCTGCGAGAACGACCTGTTGTGTCTCGATTAGTCCAACTCCCCCGCAAATACGATTGAACAAGGGCTAACCATGGTGAGAAAAGAGGTACACAAGTGACAATAAAAGAGTGATCAAAAAAAAAGAGAATAGAAACGGATAGAGAAGCGTAGGGTTGACTAGAAGTGTACACCCTGATGTTGATGGTTGGCAGCGTTAGGGAGCTACTCTGTTCACTTCGGCGGCCGTTGGCCCGTGCATTCCTTTCGCTTAGTCGTCGTGACACTTTCTCTTCACTTCACATCTTTTTCCCACGCGTTGAATACACTCCTCCATCACTCAGTTCATCGTTTCCCTTGTTGTTACTCGTAGCCTTTCGCTCTCCGTATCGCTGAGGATCCTTTTTTCTTTCACTTTCAACCCTCGTTTCAACCGCTTTCATGGAACGTCATTGCTGAACTTTCCAATACTACCTACAACCCCCAGGGCACGTCTTTACGCGTCTTCTTGTTATGACAACGGCTCCCTTGACTGCATACCCCGTAATGGAAGTCCCAGCTACGGGTGATTCTATGGAGATGGCCTCGCCCTATCAGGGGCAGGCTGACGAGTTTGACATCGACATCGACCTCATGGAGGACCATGTCTCGAACATGGACAGTGATATGATGGGTGCAGATGAATTTACACATACTTCTCAGCACAACGAACTTAACAATGATGCGATCTACGATGCCGACATGGCCGATGAACCCTCCGAAGGCTCGATGATCGACGCTGACAACTACCCCGATGAAGATCACGATATTGACGTGCAATTTGATGAAGAGGCATATGAAGAAGAAATGATTGAAACTGACCAGGCCGAAGACATCGATATTGCCGCCCCTGCCATTCATCTTCAACCTGCTGGCAGCGACAAAGACGCTGCCAGCCCCATCAAGGAGGATGCCACAGTCACACCTGTGGAACCCCTCGAAGCAGCACCTCAAGGCTCAGGGGACTCTAGGGAACTTGCCCCAGTTCAAGACGAAGCTCCGACTTCCTGTGTTGAAGACGCAGACACTCAGGCCCAGCTGAGCACGGCTGCTGATGACCTTGCTGAGGAACCATCTGAAAACGTCATCAGTCCCGAAGCCGGCGGTCGCAATGAAAAGACAGAGCTTGGTGAGGAGACTAACGAGATATCACAACCTTCTGTGTCAGAGACCCCGCAAGTTCCCGACGAGGACCCGGAGCCCAGTCAAACCAAACATTCCGCCAAAGATTCCCATGTCGATGACACTGTGCACCCAGAGACGCAGCCTGTGTGTGAGGAAAATCAGGAGGTTGCGGATGCGGATGAATCTCTCCAACAGGGCACATACATAGATGAACCTCTTCATCCAGTCAAAATCCTCTACCAGGACAGCGAGATCGCTCTGTTCCCTCCCCTTGAGGGAGACGTGGCGGATACATTCTTTGTTGAAGATGAAGCTTTAGCTTATGACAACATTGGTGAAATATTCAAGGCTCTGCGCCAGGTGCTTCAAAAGACAATGGCAGGCAATGAGGTCTTGGTCATCGATATTGACACCCTCGGTATCCAAATAACAGAGGTAAGCACCCCCTCAATTATACACCACCGGGAAACGTACTGACTCATCCTATCAGGACTCATTTCATACATCCCAAGTAACCTTGCATCAGATCCTAGAGCTTTACCTTAGACTTTGTCGCAACGATGGCACTACCGAGCCTGACGCACTTTACCTTACACTGAGCACCAGGCGTGCGTTCCCGGCCGAGCTCGCAGATCTCAACGACGCCGCAATTGAGGGCAAAAAGCTTTCCGAACTTCATTCCGAACTTCAGTCATGGGATGAATATGATGAAGCTGAAGCAGGTTCCGAGGAGGATCTTGGCGCTCATGGGGCTGAGGAGCGTGAAGACGAGGTCTACTACACCAATGAGGCCCAAAAAGAGCTTTCAATCACGGAAGTGCAGACGGCTCAAGAAGTCGGAGAAGAGCAGGCGCTAGATAGCGAACAGTCTCAGGTCAAGGCCGAAGCTGTCTCTGACGCCCAACCAGGGATTGCCCATGCGCAGGATGAGGATAGGCCTACCTCTAGTGAGCAGAGCGCCGAGGCTGCACCTGAGTCTGAATCTTATCTAGTCCAGCTCGAGAAGAAAAAGTCAGACCACTTTGATGAGTCTCGCCATCCCGAAAGCGACCAAGATCAAGAATACGATCATGGCTATGGCGATACAAACGGAGAACACTATGATTCTGAGGACCGGCAGAGTGATTCTACTGCTACAGTAGCTGCATTGCCAGGCGCAAGCGAGATCAAAGAACACAGCCAGCATGTCCCTCTGGACGTTGCTGCGGACGCCGGTACAGATCAAAAAGACAACGAGAACTATTACGCAGAGGACCCTGAGGACGATGATCTGGGACCCGACGAATACTACGAGCATGAAGTCATCGGCGCAGTCGATGATTCAGAAGCTTTCCAAAAAGATATCACTGGCAGTGAAAATGCTGATGTTGATGCACAAGAACCAGCTGATCAGGCGTCTGTTCTTGATGAAGAGGACACAGATGAGTTAGATGCCCCGCCAACAGATGAAATTGTCTCGGAAATTCTCCTGCGGGATGAAACCGACCACCCTTCCCATGACCAGCCGGCACCGGCGCTTGGCAGCGGCTTGCATGAGGCCTCTGACAAGAAGGAGCAAGCACCAGAGCCTGCAGATGATTTACTTGGAATTGCTGTAGACCTGATGCAGACTCCCCCTAGACATACAGAGAACGATGCCCTTGATCACTTTGAGGGCATAGACTACGACGAGCCAGAGGATGATCTCGATGTTCATGTTGCAGCTGATGCCGAGGGCGCCGATGGCCGCGAGTTTGACGAGAACCATTTTGGCGACTATGACACCCATTTTGAAGGATCGGAGGCTGGAGAGCTGGTTGGCACAGACCCTTCCTTGACAGATCCCCAAACCAACCAGAACTCCTCTGCCAAACGGTCTCGCGAAGATGAAGACGATTGGGACCTGGTGGAAACCACCGTCGACACCAAACGTCGCCGCTCTTCGTAAACCACGTCCATACTTTCTTTTACTCCTGGGGCCCTTTCTACAATCTCTCTCATTCGTCATGTCTGGTGTCCAGCGAGTCTGACCCTTGATGGTTCATCTCACACGACCCATTATCCTCCGCCGTACTAATGACCATACTTGCCAGCAACGACCTTGACCGATGGACGCAGTGTCTCGTTCGACTACTAACAAGAAACAGGTATGTTCGACCCCTTTCCCCAGCGTGTGCCGCCTTCGACTTCCATGGGGCATGCGCTTTCTCTTCCAAACCGCATCTGGATCAAACCGCAGTTGCTCTCGACACATCCAATTGCCCGTCATCTATTCTTGCGTTTTCCTCTTATTTGTCCTTCTACTCTTTCCCTGCCATTGCGATTCAAGATACCACTGCCGGTCTTCGGCCAAAATCTTTGTTCGGTGTTGATGGGTGCGTTTGGGCGAGCTTTTCGAATGCATTTCCCTTAGCTGGCGTATCGGCGCGATGGGTTAGTCCACGTGTTTGTAGTATTCTACCAATGAATCTTTACCCCACATGCTTCTTCATATGTATGCTATCTAGGCACTTGTAAAGACGTCTCAACTTGTAAAGAACTTCGAGGTATATCTGATCTTATACTCCCAGATTTGAAGTGCCTATTTTCGCTCATGTTATGGGGCACAAAGGAAGGACAGTCCGGAGATAGCTGGAATCGGAATACTGTGTGCTTTGCAGGTATATGCATATGTATAAAATGTGTTTTATACTTATGTAGTTTTATAGTCATTTTACATTAATTCAGCCACACAAGGTAATGTCATTAGTGGACCCAGATTGGTGTCTCTGGGGATTCCGGGCTAAGTATAGAAACCCCAGCCGCATTCGGAGGGAGCTGAAACGCCGGTCTTGGCCTCATTTCAGGGTCCATTTGGTTTTTATTATCATAAAAGATACCAATAGTACGATTAGGTACATATATACATAGACAAGTATCTAGAACTATGACCACAAAGACATAGTGACACATGGTAGTATTGCGTACTCCGTACTTGGATGTAAATCATAGTGCACTACATAAAAAGAGTTATGGCCACCTATTCTATTTCAAGTTCTACATATGCAGATTATGATATTTACATAAAACCTTCAGAATAGTTAGTTACAAGCGTCGAGATTAAAATTACCTAAAAAACACCTCGGTAGTTGGAAGCCTCGCAAGCCTCCCAAGACCTCTAGCCCCGTTGTTCTCTTACGCGTCCCCCGATCGGGCTTGAAACGGAACCCCACCGCACGCAGGCACATCTCTGGCTTCTGGCTTCTGGCTTCTGGCTTCTGGCCATCATCTTCTACACATCCTCTTACTCATCAGAAATCTCGGGCTGGCTCGTTTTTCTGTTTTGTCCTCATTCGCTCCCTTCACTTCCCCCTAGTCCCTAGTCCCTGGCCAATTACCACCCCTTCCTTCGCTCACCCGAGTCTCTCGCTCATTCCCCGACGCATTGGCGGCACTGGAGGTCTTTCGACAGTAGGAGCTCCCGGCTCCTAAGATAGGAATCACGTCAAAATGCTTCCAGATAAGTATGTCTCTCTCAACTCCCTCCGAATTGGCCCCCGAGGGCAAGTCGGTCAGTTCTAACATAGTTGCGCGCTGCGCCCTTATAGATACGTCGGGCTTCTTTTAGCCATTGTATCGACCATGGCCATCGGTACGAGTTTTGTTATCACCAAAAAGGTTGGTGTGCCAATATTCCCGGGAAATGGGTACATGGATCCCGAATGCGCTGGACGGACACTGCGGCGATTCGGTCCAAAGCAATCATCATCGGAGCGGAGTCGCTAATGCGTCTGAATACAGGGCTTGATGCAGGCCTCCGAACGACATGGGTTTGAGGGCGAAGGATTCTCATATTTGAAGAGTCCCGTGTGGTGGGGTGGTATAGTGACACGTACGGAAACCAATTGCCAGATTTGACATTCGGAGAAGCTAACAGGCTCATAGTGGCTCTCGGTGAAGTCGCCAACTTCGCTGCGTATGCCTTTGCCCCTGCCATCCTGGTTACGCCCTTGGGTGCACTGAGTGTTCTAATCGGGTAGGGATCTCTCCTCAACGACGTGCATAATCTCATAGCTGACATGGCACAGTGCGGTCCTGAGTTCGTACTTCCTGAATGAGATACTTGGCATATTGGGAAAATTAGGCTGTGCTCTGTGCTTGCTAGGATCGGTCGTCATCGTTCTCCATGCGCCTCCAGACAAGCAGGTGGAGACAGTCGATGAGATTCTTGGATATGCGGTTCAGCCAGGTACGAAGACTTGATCTGTGTCCGACGCCCGAAAACCACCGCTGACTTTGTGACCAGGGTTCCTTTTATACTGTGTCGCAGTTGCGGTCTTCTCGACCCTGATGATCTACCGGGTTGCGCCGGTCTATGGCAAGAAGAACCCGCTCATCTACATCTCGATTTGCTCCACTGTTGGATCTGTTTCCGTCATGTCCGTCAAGGCCTTTGGTATTGCAGTGAAATTAACCTTTCTGGGCAACAACCAATTCGTCCACGCATCCACCTACGTCTTTGCCATTGTAACCGGGTTCTGCATCCTTACGCAGATGAACTACTTCAACAAGGCATTGAACTCTTTCTCGACTTCGATGTGAGTGTAGACATCGATGAAGATGAAGACGGAAGGCTAACATGATTCTTTCAACAGCGTGAACCCACTTTACTATGTCACCTTCACAACCGCGACCCTCTGTGCCTCCTTCATTCTCTTCAAGGGATTCAACACCACCGACGCCGTCAACACTATATCTCTACTTTGTGGATTCCTTGTCATCTTCACCGGCGTGTACCTCCTGAACCTATCGCGACATGACCCTGATGGACACACCATGGTGAATTCAAAACTTGACGAGGATGGAGTGCCAACAGACGGTATGGCGAGCTTCCAGACCCGTCGCTCAATGCAGTCCCGCCGAAGCTCCTCGAGTGCATATTTCAACGGAGCCAGCGACCGCGAAGGCCTCATCCACGCGTACGATGCGGAGAACGGGATCGGCATGAACACCTTGACCGAAGTAAGTGATGGGGAGCCAGGCCCGACTTTCCCGCAGACCGAAGCACAGACTGCAATGCACACCAAGCAGAACAGCCAGATCTGATCGCCGGTGTCTCAAGGTCTAATTCCAATCCTCGCCTTATAACAAGGTCTTTGAAATGATTCTCCTTCCTCTCTACACGCTCGACTGCTGCAAGCTTCCCTTCCACGGCTTGATCTCTTGTATTTTTACTGTTCCCCGAAAATGCCAGAGTTGCATTGAAACTCGGGCGAACTCATCGGGCACTGGACATGCCTGTATGAACGACTGGATATGACTCTGGGTTTCTCTGGATGGTTGGGATTTGATGTCTTTTTTTTCTGTTTTTTTTTTTTTTTTTTT